GGGAGGGGGAAGAAGGAGATCGGAGGGAGGGAGGGAGGCGGGCGTGGCCGGCTCAGCCTTTTCTTCCGCGGGCCCGCGCCGCTCTGCCAAAGGGTTTTATTTGTCCCTCCCGGGTCGTAAATGCCCTATTCATCTCCCAGCGCCGGTATTTTCATGCTGTGCTCAGCCGACTGATTCCGAAGAGCGCTCTCCTCCCCTGTACTTCGCGTATAGCTCCGCCCTTGTCGCACTCATGGGGCAGAGCACCCCTTGAGCGGAACCAAAGTCTGCAGTGCGGCGGAGATCCTCTTTCGGGAAGAGAGCTCTAGCGCGCGCCTGGTGCAGGGCCGATGGGGGACCAGGGGCGGACTGGGGCATTACGGAAGTACACTTGGTACTTGGTAATTGGTAATACCCTGCCTTGTAACGTAATACTGAAAAATTAAAACAAAAAAAAAATATGTTATAAAAATGGCGTGCAACCCGGTCGCTCGTATACCCTGTAATAGCACGTATCCTGCAGTGTATTACTGAGTACTCTTTACAAGTTTTCCCGGGTGGTGGCGGGCAGGAAGGGCTGAGGGCTGGCCGCGGATGGGCCGCGGCTGGACCGGGGGCGGAAGGAGAAGGAGTTGGCGGCGGAAGCGAGGCGCGCTCAAATATTTCCCATCGTTCATTATTTCATTTCCTCGGCGGGCCGTGCGGCGCCGTGCGGCCGGCGGTGGTGCGGTGGGGCCCGCGGCGAGCCCGCTCACCATCGCCACCCCCACGGAGAGTATAGCGTATCGCTTTCCCATTCCCGCCACCCCCGGCACCCGCTGGCACAGAATCAAGTCGAAGAGCCGGCAGGCTGCGGTCCCGGTCCGTGGCGCAGTGGTGGCGCAGTGGTGGCGACAGCCCTCTCCACGCCATGTTCCCCACCACGGAGGAGGAGCCCGCCCAGCCCAGGGAGGAAAGGGTGAATGGGCGAGGAGCAGGGGCGCGCCCGAAACGGAAAATCGAAAAAGTTTACGTGAGCCAGCGCCGACCGTGCGAGCACCTTGATTCGGTTTTACTGTTCTGACCTCTCTGATGACCTAGGAGGATGATGACGATGTAATGGTGATGTGGTGATGATGCTGACGGTTTCTGTTGCAGGTCTCCGTGATGGGCCCCCCCGGGGCGCTCGGGGCCGGCGTGTGACATGGGGCTGCGGCATTCGGGGCCGGGGCCGGGGTCCTGGGGCGGGGCGGCCAGGCGTGGGGCCTGGAGCAGGGGTGGTGGGGACCCCACGGGCCCCACGGTGAGGTGGGGGCGCCGGCGGCGGGGTGGGTCCCTACTGACCCCCATGCGGTGATGCGCCCCGCGGGCCCCCCCGCGCCGCTCGTCACCCTGGAGGCTATAACGCAGGCGGTCGTCATCTTCAGCATGGGCGTAGCCATCATCATCTCCAACGTGCTCATTATCGCCACCTTCCTCAACGCCCGAGGTGAGTAGCAGCATTACTTTATAAATAATCATTTAGAATTTTTGATTAATTTGCTGATGGTGTGCAAGAGGTGTTAGGAGCGCCGACGAGCGCCGAGCACCGGGAACACAACAAAGGAAATGTTTCATCTTTTGCTTTAGAGTCCTGGGTTGTTACTGCAACAAATATTGGTAACGTTTTTACATTTTTGTCAAAGTAAAATTTAACTATTTGCAGTTTTAAATCTGATCGTCTAATCTGCTGGATGTATCAGTCCACCCGTTCTTGACTACCCACTCTGCGCTGATAAATAAAGTTTTCAACACTTTGCTGTGTTCGACTGCTTGTTGAACACTTCCCGCACAGAGTGCACTGCCGGAATTGCTCAACAGGAGTGTAACACTGAAAAGTGTCCAACTAACCGAGCTGAACACTTTAAAGTGCACAACTAGGAGTTGAAATACTTTAAAGAGCACAACTAGGAGTTGAAACACTTTCAGGTGTTGCAGTTTTGAACACTTAATTTACCAGTGTGAGGCGCAAGTTCATACAAGGTGCGTCATCGGCGGTGGTCTCCCTTTTGTTTACATTGTACCGAATGCAAGTGGTTTGCCTATCGTCGCCCACCGAGGCGCCTTAGGGATCCAGAAAGTACGTCTGTCATTCAACGTAACGAAACTAAGTTCAGCCTGTGCAAGCTGTCATAGAGCCGGGTAGGTAGGCAACATCTTACATGCACTGCATGCGTGCACTGCAGGGTGGCCTACCCTGAGTCTCGCAGGCGCCTGGCACTGCAACAGCGCCGGACTCCCGGCGGATTCCCGCAATTTTTGTCGAATGAATCTGAGAAAAACGGACGTACTTCCTGGTGGGGCCCCGTAGAATATGCGACCCGTCTGCACTCCTGCATCCGGGCATTCGGTACGGCAGTATATCCAGAAGAAAGAACGGCATCGATCGGTCATACCCTGCATGTATCTACTACTATTATTGTGTACCGAGCGGTACCGAGCCCGCGTTCACCGACGTCTTCTCAGTTGCACCTGGTACACACAAGTACGGAGGAGCGTCAAAGGCTTTCTGTAAAGGGTGCACCTCTGACGATACTCGCACACACTCCGGTCGCGGACGCGCCCCACTCCCTCTGCACGAGCACGTCCCGGCGTGGGCGCGCTCGCAGCACATTCCTCACCACCAGGGTCATTACGGATCGCCCCGGGGACCATCATTGAAAGCCGGAAACGGCCACTATGATCCTCCCCGCCCGGAAGGGCCCGGTAGTGGGGGCCGGAGCCGGGGCCAGGGCCGGGGCCAGGGCCGGGGCTGCGGGTGGGCCTCGCAGTCAGGGCGGCACAGATCGAAAAGCCCGAGCGGAGCTGCCGAGCGAAGCAGGGTGGTTGTGTAGGAGGAAAGGAAAGGGTTGTTCTGAGGGGAGGCCGCAGGGTTAGGTCAGGGCGGGGCGGGGCGGGCCGGGGAGGGCGGCGGGTCGCGACGAGCTCAACGACGACGACGCCTGCCCATGACATTCTGGCCCGCCTCCCATTCTGGCCGTGGCGGGGCGGGGCGCGGCGGGGCGCGGGTCTCTAAGGGCTGCACACTTACGACCACGCCGCCAGAAGAAATGGATGTCGCTCATTTCCATACCAATAAATGGCACGCGATTTGTTTGTTGTGGTGCCCGTGCGGCGCCGAGCCAAGCGCGGCGCGGGTGGTCCGCCGCGGCACGAGGCCTCGAAAGTCGTGACAGAAGACGCGACAAGAGTGATGCAAAAGAAATAACGAGCGCCGCAGTGTATGGCGAGTGTGCAGTGGTGGCAATAATAACCACGCATTTTAAAACTAAAACGACTCTGTCGTTGCCGAACACGCGGAAACGGCCTTTTACCTCCACGCGCGGCACCATTGGTGGAGGGATAGTTTTGTTCTCTTTTCCAAGATCAAAAACAATCGAGTCACGCAGTCAGTACGCGCGGACAAGCAGCGCGCGTCCGTCACGCGAACAGCTGATCAGCGAAACAGGCAAAGCGGGGCCAGCGTATCTGCGCCGGCTATCGCGGCAATATAATGGGGAGGGGGTGGGGAAGGGACCTCCAGCGTGACGTCATTTGTTCGGGAGTTACAACACGTGATATCCTGCCTTCAAATACAGTCATTACGTATTTATTTTTGGAGTCAAAAATACACCCTTGAGGAAAATTGAAGCACCACTTTTCTTTGGTGGGGCGTAATTAGGGTATTCCGCTGCAAGGCGATCGGAACCTAAGGAAGTGAACCCTGACAGCTTATTGATTGTTTCCCTCTGAACGCTGATTGGCCGACGGTGCCGTCGGTGTGGTGGACAAACTGTTAATCCGATTCGGGCAGTCATGCTTTTCTTCTTTACGTTCCGCTTGCCTTCCAGCGGAATACCCTCTTCCAAAGTACGATATGGGATATAAAGTCACCCTTTGGTACACTGTAAAAAATACCGTAGGCAGTTACGGTTTGCCTACGGTCCGCACCGTATTTTCAGCGTACGGTCAGGCCGTAACAGTATGAACTGTACTTTTTTGTTTGGGCTAAGAGCTGTATTCGACTTCCCCAACATTTTTTCAAGTTACGGTCTGTTCTGTATGACACGGACCGTAACCAAAAATTACGGTGCCGGACCAGGCAACAAATTTACAGCGCAGACCGTAGGCCTTTACCGTGTGTTTTTCCAACAGTGTATAGGGGAGTATAGGTTCGTGTGTTGGCAACAGCGCAAGAAGTTTACTTTTGCTCACGAGCGTAAAATAAAAGACGGAGAG